TGTGACACCTCAGTGTGACACCTGAGTCTGACACCTGAGTGTGACACCTGAGTGTGACACCTCAGTGTGACACCTCAGTGTGACACCTCAGTGTGACACCTCAGTGTGACACCTCAGTGTGACACCTGAGTTGGACACCTGAGTGTGACACCTCAGTGTGACACCTCAGTGTGACACCTCAGTGTGACACCTCAGTGTGACACCTCAGTGTGACACCTCAGTGTGACACATGAGTGTGACACCTCAGTGTGACACCTCAGTGTGACACCTCAGTGTGACACCTCAGTGTGACACCTCAGTGTGACACCTCAGTGTGACACCTCCAGTGTGACACCTGAGTGTGACACCTGAGTGTGACACCTGAGTGTGACACCTGAGTGTGACACCTCAGTGTGACACCTCAGTGTGACACCTCAGTGTGACACCTCAGTGTGACACCTCAGTGCGTGACACCTCAGTGTGACACCTCAGTGTGACACCTGAGTGTGACACCTAGTGTGACACCTGAGTGTGACACCTGAGTGTGGACACCTCAGTGTGACACCTCAGTGTGACACTTCAGTGTGACACCTCATGGTGTGACACTTCAGTGTGACACCTCAGTGTGACACCTCAGTGTGACACCTCAGTGTGACACCTCAGTGTGACACCTCAGTGTGACACCTCAGTGTGACACCTCAGTGTGACACCTCAGTGTGACACCTGAGTGTGACACCTCAGTGTGACACCTCAGTGTGACACCTCAGTGTGACACCTCAGTGTGACACCTCAGTGTGACACCTCAGTGTGACACTCAGTGTGACACCTGAGTGTGACACCTCAGTGTGACACCTGAGTGTGACACCTGAGTGTGACACCTGAGTGTGACACCTGAGTGTGACACCTCAGTGTGACACCTCAGTGTGACACCTCAGTGTGACACCTCAGTGTGACACCTCAGTGTGACACCTCAGTGTGACACCTGAGTGTGACACCTCAGTGTGACACCTGAGTGTGACACCTGAGTGTGACACCTGAGTGTGACACCTGAGTGTGACACCATGAGTCTGACACCTGAGTCTGACACCTGAGTGTGACACCTGAGTGTGACACCTGAGTGTGACACCTGAGTGTGACACCTGAGTCTGACACCTGAGTCTGACACCTCAGTGTGACACCTCAGTGTGACACCTCAGTGTGACACCTCAGTGTGACACCTCAGTGTGACACCTGAGTGTGACACCTGAGTGTGACACATCAGTGTGACACCTCAGTGTGACACCTGAGTGTGACACCTGAGTGTGACACCTGAGTGTGACACCTGAGTGTGACACCTGAGTGTGACACCTGAGTCTGACACCTCAGTGTGACACCTCAGTGTGACACCTCAGTGTGACACCTCAGTGTGACACCTGAGTCTGACACCTGAGTCTGACACCTGAGTGTGACACCTGAGTGTGACACCTCAGTGTGACACCTCAGTGTGACACCTCAGTGTGACACCTCAGTGTGACACCTGAGTATGACACCTGAGTGTGACACCTCAGTGTGACACCTCAGTGTGACACCTCATGTGTGACACCTCAGTGTGACACCTCAGTGTGACACATGAGTGTGACACCTCAGTGTGACACCTCAGTGTGACATACCTGAGTGTGACACCTGAGTGTGACACCTCAGTGTGACACCTGAGTGTGACACCTGAGTGTGACACCTGAGTGTGACACCTGAGTGTGACACCTGAGTGTGACACCTGAGTGTGACACCTCAGTGTGACACCTGAGTGTGACACCTCAGTGTGACACCTCAGTGTGACACCTCAGTGTGACACCTGAGTGTGACACCTCAGTGTGACACCTCAGTGTGACACCTCAGTGTGACACCTCAGTGTGACACCTGAGTCTGACACCTGAGTCTGACACCTGAGTGTGACACCTGAGTGTGACACCTCAGTGTGACACCTCAGTGTGACACCTCAGTGTGACACCTCAGTGTGACACCTGAGTATGACACCTGAGTGTGACACCTCAGTGTGACACCTCAGTGTGACACCTCAGTGTGACACCTCAGTGTGACACCTCAGTGTGACACCTCAGTGTGACACATGAGTGTGACACCTCAGTGTGACACCTCAGTGTGACACCTCAGTGTGACACCTGAGTGTGACACCTGAGTGTGACACCTGAGTGTGACACCTGAGTGTGACACCTCAGTGTGACACCTGAGTGTGACACCTGAGTGTGACACCTGAGTGTGACACCTCAGTGTGACACCTCAGTGTGACACCTCAGTGTGACACCTGAGTGTGACACCTCAGTGTGACACCTGAGTGTGACACCTCAGTGTGACACCTCAGTGTGACACCTCAGTGTGACACCTCAGTGTGACACCTCAGTGTGACACCTCAGTGTGACACCTCAGTGTGACACCTCAGTGTGACACCTCAGTGTGACACCTCAGTGTGACACCTGAGTGTGACACCTCAGTGTGACACCTCAGTGTGACACTTCAGTGTGACACCTCAGTGTGACACTTCAGTGTGACACCTCAGTGTGACACCTGAGTGTGACACCTGAGTGTGACACCTGAGTGTGACACCTCAGTGTGACACCTCAGTGTGACACCTCAGTGTGACACCTCAGTGTGACTCCTCAGTGTGACACCTCAGTGTGACACCTGAGTGTGACACCTGAGTGTGACACCTCAGTGTGACACCTCAGTGTGACACCTCAGTGTGACACCTCAGTGTGACACCTCAGTGTGACACCTGAGTGTGACACCTGAGTGTGACACCTGAGTGTGACACTGAGTGTGACACCTCAGTGTGACACCTCAGTGTGACACCTCAGTGTGACACCTCAGTGTGACACCTCAGTGTGACACCTCAGTGTGACACCTGAGTGTGACACCTCAGTGTGACACCTCAGTGTGACACCTGAGTGTGACACCTGAGTGTGACACCTGAGTGTGACACCTGAGTCTGACACCTGAGTCTGACACCTGAGTGTGACACCTGAGTGTGACACCTGAGTCTGACACCTGAGTCTGACACCTGAGTCTGACACCTCAGTGTGACACCTCAGTGTGACACCTCAGTGTGACACCTCAGTGTGACACCTCAGTGTGACACCTGAGTGTGACACCTGAGTGTGACACATCAGTGTGACACCTCAGTGTGACACCTGAGTGTGACACCTGAGTGTGACACCTGAGTGTGACACCTGAGTGTGACACCTGAGTGTGACACCTGAGTGTGACACCTGAGTCTGACACCTCAGTGTGACACCTCAGTGTGACACCTCAGTGTGACACCTCAGTGTGACACCTGAGTCTGACACCTGAGTCTGACACCTGAGTGTGACACCTGAGTGTGACACCTGAGTGTGACACCTCAGTGTGACACCTCAGTGTGACACCTCAGTGTGACACCTGAGTATGACACCTGAGTGTGACATATCAGTGTGACACCTCAGTGTGACACCTCAGTGTGACACCTCAGTGTGACACCTCAGTGTGACACCTCAGTGTGACACATGAGTGTGACACCTCAGTGTGACACCTCAGTGTGACACCTCAGTGTGACACCTCAGTGTGACACCTCAGTGTGACACCTCAGTGTGACACCTGAGTGTGACACCTGAGTGTGACACCTCAGTGTGACACCTGAGTGTGACACCTGAGTGTGACACCTGAGTGTGACACCTGAGTGTGACACCTCAGTGTGACACCTCAGTGTGACACCTCAGTGTGACACCTCAGTGTGACACCTGAGTGTGACACCTCAGTGTGACACCTCAGTGTGACACCTCAGTGTGACACCTCAGTGTGACACCTCAGTGTGACACCTCAGTGTGACACCTCAGTGTGACACCTCAGTGTGACACCTCAGTGTGACACCTCAGTGTGACACCTCAGTGTGACACCTCAGTGTGACACCTGAGTGTGACACCTCAGTGTGACACCTCAGTGTGACACTTCAGTGTGACACCTCAGTGTGACACTTCAGTGTGACACCTCAGTGTGACACCTCAGTGTGACACCTCAGTGTGACACCTCAGTGTGACACCTCAGTGTGACACCTCAGTGTGACACCTCAGTCAATGTGAGTGACACCTCAGTGTGAGTAACACTTCAGTCAGTGTGAGTGATACCTCAGCCAGTGTGAGTGACACCTCAGTCAGTGTGGGTGACACCTCGGTCAGTGTGACACATCAGTGTGAGTGACACCTCAGTCAGTGTGAGTGACACCTCAGTCAGTGTGAGTGATACCTCAGCCAGTGTGAGTGACACCTCAGTCAGTGTGAGTGATACCTCAGCCAGTGTGAGTGACACCTCAGCCAGTGTGAGTGACACCTCAGTCAGTGTGAGTGATACCTCAGTCAGTGTGAGTGATACCTCAGTCAGTGTGAGTGACACCTCAGTCAGTGTGAGTGACACCTCAGCCAGTGTGAGTGACACCTCAGTCAGTGTGAGTGACACCTCAGTCAGTGTGAGTGACACCTCAGTCAGTGTGAGTGACACCTCAGTCAGTGTGAGTGACACCTCAGTCAGGATGGTAATGCTGTGCAGTCATGTATTAAATTAGTTTTTAAGGTTTATCCAAGTTAGAGATTTGACAATATCATGACAGTAACCAGAGTGTGAAGACCACTGCGAGCCTTGTTGGAGTCTTACCAGAGTCTTGCCAGAGCTTTGCCAGAGTCTTGCCAGAGCTTTGCCAGAGTCTTGCCAGAGCTTTGCCAGAGCCTTGCCAGAGTCTTGCCAGAGCCATACCAGAGCCTTACCAGAGTCTTGCCAGAGCCGTGCCAGAGCCTTGCCAGAGCCTTGCAAGGGAAAGACTGCACTGACTGGTGAAGTCCGTATATTGTTGACAAGGCTAAGGTGTCGATCCTCCTGATTCCTTCACATTAAGTAACCTTGCTGTTTATGGCATCCATGGCCAATGACAGGCTGGATTCTCTCCTCCCATAGTCCACTCTACACTTCTTTGACTACTCTCAATATAGCAAAGGTCTACTTACCTGTGTGGGACTGCCTATGATGTAGGTGAGACAGAAGGGTACTCCCACGAGAAGGGTGTGCAGCATCCAGGTGTAGGCCAGGTGTACCCCAGCCAATGACCACAGTGCCTGGCTCCGCAACACCTGACCCCAACACACACTCTGCAACACAACACTACTCACTAGCAACATTATCCAAGGCTGGTTAAAGGGGTTTAAAGCCTAGCCACTACACGAGGGTCATGAAGAACACATGTAACCTGTTCACTAATAGTTAAGAACACTTTAATATCTAAAATAGTAAACACAATATATACAGACCGAGAGATTTACATCTATGTATGTAAAACACGTCTGATTATATTGGTAAATTATGGTAGCTAATATCTGGCCACATTAGCGGGTTATACCTACTTATAGGTCACGACTGTTTCTGGCTACTCTGGCTTTGAGTACCAAAATACAACGTCTGGATAAAATACCAATTAGAGAAAGGCAGTATACATCATCTTTGACACTTTTCCCCTAGTATGTCTGCCTGAGTGAAACACTGACCAAGTATGATGTTCCCCCCTCCCCCCCGCGCCTCGAGTAGCAGATATCTCGGAGATACCAGAGAGATAATGGAGAGAAAACATGTTAAACACTCACCGATTTTTTTATAAAGAGCTAATTAAATTAAGGTTTTAAAAAAGAACACATTTGTGATAAAAAAAAATTCTTAACTGCAGGTCTTGTGTGAGTTATTGTGAGGATGGTGTTGAGACCCTCGTCTTCCTGAGGAATGGGAGGTATTGAGGTGTTATTGAATGATGAATATCCCTTGACCATCATCAAGGTCGTCTACAAGAGTTGTATACAAGTGCTACATTAACCTGGTGCTGAAAATGGTAATTAATACTGACAGGTTAAAGAGGAAGATAATTAGCAACAGTTAGACATGTTTATTGTTGACAAACATCTCGCCTACACGGCAGGCTTCTCTTCTTCACTCAAATACAGAGAAGACTAAATTGGAGGTAGTAGCCGCAGTAGCGAGGTAAAGATGATATAATCAGTCCAGACTACATAAATGAACTATTCTCCAGCCTGAGGACTGACCACCTCAAAAACTATTAGACCAAGATTGATGGACTGGTTAAATCTTTACCTCGCCACGACGACTGCTGTCTCCAATTTAGTATTCTTTGTATTTGACTGAAGAAATCTACCGTGTAGGTGAAACGTTTCAATGAACAAAGATGAGCAACTGTGGCATATGCGTCTCACTCTTCAGACCAAGCAATCTCTCTCAAAGTCTATCAAAGCACAACAGAGTCAAAGAAGAAACTTCTCCTTAAAAAAATCTCAAAAACATTGACACACTGTTAGTCTGCTACTCAGAATACATCAACAGATGAAGATGGTAACGGTACAAAGTGACGAGGAATGTGAACTAAAGTGTTTCAAATGTTGAGAGGGATTCCCAGCGCCATGCCATATTTCGCAGTGATGGAAGTTGATAGATCCAGAGGGTGAAGAGGACGTACCTCGCGAGGTGCACGGTGGTGAAGGCGAGGCAGCGTGAGGCAGAGGAGGGCGAGAGGAAGAGCCAGACTGCCCACCAGGTAGCTGCAAATATACCATTGTGGCAGTGACCCCAGTCCGCCACCCAGTGCAGTTCCCAGGTACGGCCCTGCCAGGATAGTCACGCGAAAAACGTCCAGGTTTTATTTCCTATTTCCACTCTGGTATTTTTACATTACTTTACCATATACAAAAATATTTATCAATGAACGAATTTGTTGAAAAAATAATTTACACTTTAGTATCAGTAAATCATCAATTACCTTTGGAAATATAAAAATCAGTAGTGACAAAATATACCATAAGCCTTCATCTCCTCGCAGGTATTATAATAGTACATCTCTTAATATTGCAGATGATCTCCACAAGGCAGAAGTTTCCCTCGCGTGCACAACATTACAGTAAAGGAGTCGACTTCAGAATACATATATAGGAGGGGATTAACAGTGCCTATCTGGTTGAAAGGGGCCCTAGGGGACTAAACTACGTTATTTTTATTTGGGGGACTGTTGAAGATGATAGGAAACTGATGAAGATTATAGGGGACTGATGAACATTAAACGGGTGTCTTCGTCATTATTCCTTCTCCGGGCGCTGTCACCGCAGAGTGTGGCGGTCAGTGGGGCGGGTGTGTCCACAGCTTTTCTCACTTCCCAAGTCACACATCACTTCACATTATCGTCACAGAAGTCTTCTAAAAATAATCATTCGTTTAAGCCTCTTAATGATCTATTATCTCGGGAGAAGCTGGAGACACTTACCTGTAAACACGACGAGAGCAGCCCAAGGTCTGGTCTTGCGTGGCAGCTCTTCCAACACCCTGGCTACCGTCGGGTACATCACTCCCTGCACCACATGAAGCATTAATCTTAAGATTCTTTATTCCAGCATGATACAATGTTTGTACAGAGGTGAGTGACATTTAAGTGTGCATACAGAAAGCCCCTTAATATACAGAGCATTTCGGACAAAGAGGAGATAAGCTAGCGGGGTGACACTTGTCATCGGGCACAGTTTTATACAGAATAGGCTTAGTGAAGTGGTAATCTGGTTGCAAGACGGGGCTATGAGACTTGCCTTGAGGCAGCATTATTTTGCTTTGTGGGGGTTGATGGAAATTTTTTGAGGGGATTTCGTACAGCTAATCTTACAGATGCCTTAATTTGACTTAACTAATACATTATGGAACACAGCAGAATTATTGAACATTAGAAAGCATTTTACTTGTGTGAAAGTTGAACATGCGTCACTACGAATATTTTCTATACATAAATTGTTTAGGCAGATGCGCCTGTTCGACACTAGAGGGAAGCATGTAGAGGGGAAAGGGTCATACTAGGTATACGTAACACTAGAGATGAGATGAAGGAGGTGAAGCTGTATCAGTATGGAGGTACACTGACCTGACCAACTCCCAGGACGAGTCTTGAGGCTAGTAGCAACCACGGTCCACCCAGGGAGGCAGCGTGGGTCAGTAGACCCACCACTCCAGCCACACCCACAGAGGCAGCCAGCACTACAACAGCATCAATTCTGTACACAAGTACAAACAGGTGTTCTGTATCTCACGTACAGTCCTCTCTCTAATTCCTGCCAATGTTTGAAATTTAAAACAAAGACGAAACTAAAACTCCTACAGTAAGGTTACTTTAACTGCCAGTACTCCAGGTAAACATGGAAAGTGAAGTGTCTTATAGGAACAACGTGCAATTAAGAACTACTACATTTAATTTCTTACTGCTTTTATATAGACAGCTTTTATAAAGTTCCTCCATATAGCTCAATTCTTCGCAAATGTGATTGAAAGCCTGCATCCAAAACTGACAAGCGGGAGGAAAGACCCTCTTAGTACGTACGTAAGAAATAACAGTTACAAACAATTACGCTATATATGTGGAAAAAAATAGCAAATAGCATTTTATAAATACTTGTGCAGCAGTTTGTGAGGTATGAGAGCAGTGATGAGGCCGGTCCAGTACACGCTACTCAACACAGTTCCCTCTACCACCAGCGACCACTCCTCCTGTACGAGAAAACTCATTATCTCGGCACTTAAGGATGTAGGAGAGAGCTGGTGCAGGCTTCCAGGTTCCCAACAATGCACAAATAAAATATACAGTTTACAACTCAACTTGGAAAACGGAGGCTGTAAAGTACTATAACCTTCAGTCCACTTGTTTTCTCGACTTGCCATTACTATTACTACTACTGCTATTACCATATTTATATTACCAAAACTGACGTTACTTCCGAATCGGTTCAGACTCCATTTCCTCCACTTTTCCCCCCGGTCCAGGAGGGACCGAAATGTCGTCTAAAGATTTCATTTGATGTTGTTGGTTATTCACGCAATATTGCAGCCGAGATATTGCAATTTATTCTTCATATAAAAGAAACTTTAATCTGAACTAATTTAAATAAAATTTAAGAAAATGGTCAGAAACCAAGAAGTTTGTCCAATGTCTATATATCAAGATTTTATGAACGTCAAAAAAATTTTAAAAATTAATATGTGGCTCGTACCAAAAATAAGTGTGCTTTTTAAATTTCTATAGACATAGATTTGCAAAAATGTCATCTTATGACTGCATACTATATACCTATAGCTCTTGTTATTTTAAATCAGGAAACACATAACATATTAAGTACAAACGGTGTGGTACTGCTGTGTCAACAAGACAGCATCAGGCACCTTCAGGACTGTGAGGTTGTCTGAAGTGCTTCCAGCCAGTAAGAGGATGAGAATATTCACACTGTCTTCTGAAACGTCGTCAGGGATGGAATACTTCAGCCAAAGTTCACCGTGTGCAGCTTTTGAGTAGAACTCTGCAAGTGTGGCGCTGGAGTTGTGCAGCGGCAGGCTACCCTGGCCGGGGTGTTCCAGGCTGTCCTGGCCGGGGTGTTCCAGGCTGTCCTGGCCTGGGTGTTGCAGGCTGTCCTGGCCGGAGTGTTGCAGGCTGTCCTGGCTGGAGTGTTGCAGGCTGTCCTGGCCGGAGTGTTGCAGGCTGTCCTGGCCGGAGTGTTGCAGGCTGTCCTGGCCTGGGTGCTGGGGGACACCACCTGCCACTAAGAGTGGTACAAACATTACATTAACTTTATCGTCCATCCTCCAGCCACTCTCACCATCTTCCTGGAGCACTGAAGTGGTGCGTTTATCTCGTCGGGGAATATTTAATATTTCCTGTGAGGAGTCTCCAGACTCTTTGGGAAATGAATTAAGGTTTGGTTTTATATACAGTGACACTTTGTCTGGCAGCTCTAAATTGCTATTTAATTCTGAGTTCGTCGAGACTGGAGAGTAAACACTGGTTGAAGCTGCTTCATATACAAAGGACTGGGAGGGCAAATTAGTGGGAGATGTGATGGAGGAATAGGTGGTGGTGGTGGTGGTGGTGGTGGTGGTGGTGGTGGTAACGTCCGGTGAGGGAGACGCTGCAGCAACTGCAGGTAAGGCAGTGATGAGTGCATCCCTCAAGCCATGATGCAGCAGCAAGGCTGCACAGCACACACACACTCGCAGCCAACCTGCAGATGGATCATTTGTTACAACTCTTCACCACTACACCCCATCGTATACCTACCTGGAGTATACCTGAATGGTGGTCCGGGGGGTCAACGCCACAGCGGCCCGGTCCATGACCAGACTTTCAACACAAATCCCTTGCCATCATTGTTTTCTCATTAATTCAGTGTCATTATCAACCTTATCAGTCAACACATGGGTAAACACTTTTCATACATAAATTATTATATTCAAGGGGCTGCCTACATAAGAGTGCTGCGGCCCCCTGCCTCTGTTAGGTGTATCAAGTCTGCTGTGTGGGCGAGACGTCTCTGAGATGCCCAGGTGTCTTCTGCTCATCAGATCTAATGATGTTCCCCCTACAGTTTACACCAGCAGCCCACGAAGTAGCAGCCAACGTTATGTATTTAGCTTCACTGACAGTTTCACTAATTTATTTGTATAGAAAAACAATGGTGGAAAAAACCATAACTAAATATTTTTGTTTTAGGTAATTTTTTTAATATTAAAATGAGACTGGTGAGAATGATATAGTAGTCAGTTGTTTTACCCAGTTACCATAACAGCCCAGCCTCAAGGAGTTAGTGTGTTTATAAAACAAATTAAAGCCCACTGAAAGGAAAGGGAATACGTGTGACACCAATGGTTTTCCGGCACGGAATACGGCAGGTACACACGTGGTATTGTTTACAAACACGAGCAGGGAAGGTCAGGAACATGCGTCACCATGCTGACGCTACAAACACGTGACTTTATAACTTCTACCCTGAAAATCCTCAATCATATCATGTGTATCACTAAATTATTACATAAAAAGGTACACAATACCAACATGCTGAACAAGACATATGTAAAACTTTGGCATCACAAGACACATTTCGTCTTTCAGGGGTTTATATCAGACAAGTAGAGAGAGACGAAAGAGGAGGCTCTTGTTGTTTCTAACCTGCTTCATCAGTAAACTTCCTCATGGTGTTGCTCAAACTACGAGGGTCACATGATGTGCCTCACGCACTGTTGTTCTAACAGTGAAGGTTGTGGTGGCCATGAAGATGCTGTGTTGTGCTAGACAGGGTGTAACATGACTTCGGCAAACTGAGCCCCATGTTAGACTGTCCTCTGGTGCCCTCCCTGAGTCCCTGTCTACGTTGCTTCCCTGTCGAGAGGTTGTCTAGCCCTGTCTACGGTGGTCTTCAGGTTGTGTGGTCTCACCCTGTCAGCAAGTATGAATCTTGTATGAAGGTTCTTTCAGAGGTCACAAACTGACGTCCGGTTCTCACTACACACTTCGTTGTCCTCGTGTGTTCAGTCTTCTTTACTGCAATTGAAAATAGACTTCATGATATTACGTTAAATTAGCTGATAAACAATACTGATAGAAGGATAGTGTTCCTGTATTAACTGGACGATGTATGAGGGTTGATCACTCGACCTTCAACTGATTCAGTCACCACAAACTCACATGCAAATACGAGACTAAGTTAAAATTTATGTAACTTTTGAATTTACTGTATATAAGCTAAGATAGTGAGTGCTTAATTTTTAAGTCATCCATCAGTTTTTTAACTTAGATTTTTTTTCATTTTATCGTATTTGAGATTCAAAAAGTATAAAAAAAATGTATTTTTCTTCTTTGGAATTTTGAAACAATTTCTACCTTTAAATCGTGTATTTGCTAAGAGACAATTACAGTCCGGTAAAACTATCCAAAATAACATAGAAAGATACTGAGCAGAGGCAGCGCTGCTCCTCCTGTGTCTCAAGACTCCAGGATGGAGAACAAAGCAATGGCTGAGGAAAATGTTGAGAGAAAAAAGAGGACTAATATAAGGAACCCCCCCCCCCACTATATACTCTATAAGCAAGTCATCCTCTACTGTACACATCAGAAGATACACAGGGTATGCGTATCTTAGGGGCGGCTGTGTACTGACGCCAATGTATAGGTAGTCACTGATCTATATATGATGACACTGTCACAAGGTTACTGTGATTATCTCAGACTGTCAGAAACTTAACTATTTGCAATGATGCTTCAGGCACTTTAAAGGTTATTGGACGAACGTGACTCACCTCCACAAACACTGTAGTCCCTAATTAAGTTATATAAGTAACTTCACTTTACAGTGTTACACAACACGAAATCTATACTTCTTTATATATCTAAACTTTGTTAGTAACTTCAGCATCTCATTTCCTTCTTAATACTCTCACAAAACTTACCTGGTAAATATGCAGATCCGCTCTTCTTAATAAATTAAGAAATTTTTTCTTATCTTTCAAAGACTGGCGCTGACGTCACCTTGACACACATTGTTCACATTTATTCTGGAAGATATTAGGGAATATAATAATATATATTTATTTTACAACATGCAGCATATCAGTGTCATTCAACAATTACCACTAACAGCAGACTTTAAAGACGCGTAGAATGTAAACAAAGGCGCGTCATTCCTGCATCTACCGCTGGCGGAGTAAGACTGTATTACCTTAGGTTATTTTGGATTGAATTAAACTGGGTGTTGTTAGATTTTTCTTATATTTTAACAAAAAAAAATAGTGTCCATGACAAAACCAACCTAATACTGGACATTTTAGGAAGTAAACTGTGACCACACTCGCCTAACGCCCAGCTCAGCGCCTTTGTAAAAAAAACTTAATGATCCTGTAAATAAAAATACATTTGCAGGATTTTATCAACTTTTCGAGTTAATACCCAAATTAGTATTAGAATGCTTATACGTGTATGGTAATTACGCAGATATTTTATTTTAAAACATGAATATTCTATGACGAGATTAATGTAAAGTGACCAGGTAGTGAAGAGTGTCGTAAACCCGCACTAATGTAAACAACGTGTGATAAACAGTCTTACAGTATGTTACTGACGTAGTAACACTGCAGTAACCTGACCACCAGTGTTACTGACGTAGTAACACTGCAGTAACCCGACCACCAGTGTCACTGACGTAGTAACACTGCAGTAACCCGACCACCAGTGTTACTGACGTAGTAACACTGCAGTAAGCCGACCACCAGTGTTACTGACGTAGTAACACTGCAGTAACCTGACCACCAGTGTTACTGACGTAGTAACACTGCAGTAACCTGACCACCAGTGTTACTGACGTAGTAACACTGCAGTAACCCGACCACCAGTGTCACTGACGTAGTAACACTGCAGTAACCTGACCACCAGTGTTACTGACGTAGTAACCTGACCACCAGTGTTACTGACGTAGTAACACTGCAGTAACCTGACCACCAGTGTTACTGACGTAGTAACACTGCAGTAACCCGACCACCAGTGTCACTGACGTAGTAACACTGCAGTAACCTGACCACCAGTGTTACTGACGTAGTAACACTGCAGTAACCTGACCACCAGTGTTACTGACGTAGTAACACTGCAGTAACCTGACCACCAGTGTTACTGACGCAGTAACCTGACCACCAGTGTTACTGACGTAGTAACACTGCAGTAACCTGACCACCAGTGTTACTGACGCAGTAACACTGCAGTAACCTGACCACCAGTGTTACTGACGTAGTAACCTGACCACCAGTGTTACTGACGCAGTAACCTGACCACCAGTGTTACTGACGTAGTAACCTGACCACCAGTGTTACTGACGTAGTAACCTGACCACCAGTGTTACTGACGTAGTAACCTGACCACCAGTGTTACTGACGCAGTAACCTGACCACCAGTGTTACTGACGTAGTAACACTGCAGTAACCTGACCACCAGTGTTACTGACGTAGTAACACTGCAGTAACCTGACCACCAGTGTTACTGACGTAGTAACACTGCAGTAACCTGACCACCAGTGTTACTGACGTAGTAACACTGCAGTAACCTGACCACCAGTGTTACTGACGCAGTAACACTGCAGTAACCTGACCACCAGTGTTACTGACGTAGTAACCTGACCACCAGTGTTACTGACGTAGTAACACTGCAGTAACCTGACCACCAGTGTTACTGACGCAGTAACCTGACCACCAGTGTTACTGACGTAGTAACACTGCAGTAACCTGACCACCAGTGTTACTGACGCAGTAACACTGCAGTAACCTGACCACCAGTGTTACTGACGTAGTAACCTGACCACCAGTGTTACTGACGTAGTAACACTGCAGTAACCTGACCACCAGTGTTACTGACGTAGTAACCTGACCACCAGTGTTACTGACGTAGTAACACTGCAGTAACCTGACCACCAGTGTTACTGACGTAGTAACCTGACCACCAGTGTTACTGACGTAGTAACACTGCAGTAACCTGACCACCAGTGTTACTGACGCAGTAACCTGACCACCAGTGTTACTGACGTAGTAACACTGCAGTAACCTGACCACCAGTGTTATTGACGCAGTAACACTGCAGTAACCTGACCACCAGTGTTACTGACGTAGTAACACTGCAGTAACCTGACCACCAGTGTTACTGACGTAGTAACACTGCAGTAACCTGACCACCAGTGTTACTGACGCAGTAACACTGCAGTAACCTGACCACCAGTGTTACTGACGTAGTAACCTGACCACCAGTGTTACTGACGTAGTAACACTGCAGTAACCTGACCACCAGTGTTACTGACGCAGTAACCTGACCACCAGTGTTACTGACGTAGTAACACTGCAGTAACCTGACCACCAGTATTACTGACGTAGTAACACTGCAGTAACCTGACCACCAGTGTTACTGACGTAGTAACACTGCGGTAACCTGACCACCAGTGTTACTGACGCAGTAACCCGACCACCAGCGTTACTGACGCAGTAACATTGCAGTAACCTGACAACCAGTGTTACTGACGCAGTAACCCGACCACCAGCGTTACTGACGTAGTAACACTGCAGTAACCTGACCACCAGTGTTACTGATGCAGTAACCCGACCACCAGTGTTACTGACGTAGTAACACTGCAGTAACCTGACCACCAGTGTTACTGACGCAGTAACCCGACCACCAGTGTTACTGACGTAGTAACACTGCAGTAACCTGACCACCAGTGTTACTGACGCAGTAACCCGACCACCAGTGTTACTGACGTAGTAACACTGCAGTAACCTGACCACCAGTGTTACTGACGCAGTAACCCGACCACCAGTGTTACTGACGTAGTAACACTGCAGTAACCCGACCAACAGTGTTACTGACGAAACACTGCAGTAACCTCACCACCAGTGTTACTGACGCAGTAACACTGCAGTAACCTGACCACCAGTGTTACTGACGCAGTAACTCGACCACCAGCGTTACTGACGTAGTAACACTACAGAAACCTGACCACCAGTGTTACCGACGCAGTAACACTGCAGTAACCTGACCACCAGTGTTACTGACGCAGTAACACTGCAGTAACCTGACCACCAGTGTTACTGACGCAGTAACACTGCAGTAACCTGACCACCAGTGTTACTGACGCAGTAACACTGCAGTAACCTGACCACCAGTGTTATTGACGCAGTAACACTGCAGTAACCTGACCACCAGTGCTACTGACGCAGTAACACTGCAGTAACCCGACCACCAGTGCTACTGACGCAGTAACACTGCAGTAACCTGACCACCAGTGTTACTGACGCAGTAACCCGACCATCAGTGTTACTGACGCAGTAACACGGCAGTAACCTGACCACCAGTGTTACAGACGCAGTAACACTGCAGTAACCTGACCACCAGTGTTAATGACGCAGTAACACTGAAGTAACCTGACCACCAGTGTTACTGACGCAGTAACACTGCAGTAACCTGACCACCAGTGTTACTGACGCAGTAACACTGCAGTGACCCGACCACCAGTGTTATTGACGCAGTAACACTGCAGTAACCTGACCACCAGTGTTACTGACGCAGTAACACTGCAGTAACCTGACCATCAGTGTTACTGACGCAGTAACACTGCAGTAACCTGACCACCAGTGTTACTGACGCAGTAACACTGCAGTAACCCGACCATCAGTGTTACTGACGCAGTAACACTGCAGTAACCTGACCACCAGTGTTACTGACGCAGTAACCCGAACATCAGTATTACTGACGCAGTAACACTGCAGTAACCCAACCAAAAGTGTTACTGACGTAGTAACACTGCAGTAACCCGACCACCAGTGTTACTAACGTAGTAACAATGCAGTAACCCGACCACCAGTGTTACTGACGTTGTAACACTGCAGTAGCCCGACCACCAGTGTTACTGACGGAGTAACCCGACCACCAGTGATACTGACGCAGTAACACTGCAGTAACATGACCACCAGTGTTACTGACGCAGAAACACTGCAGTAACCTGACCACCAGTGTTACTGACGCAGTAACCCGACCACCAGTGTTACTGACGAAGTAACACTACTGTAACCTGACCACCAGTGTTAATGACGCAGTAACACTGCAGTAACCTGACCACCAGTGTTACTGACGCAGTAACCCGTCCACCAGTGTTACTGACGCAGTAACACTGCAGTAACCCGACCACAAGTGTTACTGACGCAGTAACACTGCAGTAACCTGACCAACAGTGTTACTGACGCAGTAACACTGCAGTAACCTGACCACCAGTGTTACTGACACAATAACACTAGTAAGCAGACTACCAGAAGAAGCAAAAAACTTGGATTCCAGGTTCATAAGGTACAAGTAACCTCTGACTCCCATTAAATACATACATATATTTATATATATATATATATATATATATATATATATATATATATATATATATGTATATATATATATATATATATATATATATATATATATATATATATATATATATATATATATATATATATATATATATATATGTATATATATATATTTATATAAATATAACATATATATATATTTATATATATATAATATATATATTATATATATAATATATATGTATATATATATATATACATATATATATATATATATATATATATATATATATATATATATATATATATATATATATATATATATATATATATATATAAAAATATATAATATACATTTGTATATATATATATATATACATATATATAAAATATAATATATATATAATTATACGTACATTATACATATATAGATCTGGTAGACGAACCAGGGAGGAAAGATTGGGAGTTAGAGCTCCAAAAAAGGGAGGAAGAGTGGGGAAGGAAGATAGTATAGCTTGGTAAGAAAATGGAGGAGCGGATAGCTGAAGAGTGCAGGAAGTGGGAAGTACAGGTCTTAGCAGCAGAAGCTAGGATACAGTGCTTAGAAGAGAAACTGCAAAGCCTGAAACAGATTAGAGAGACAAATGACAATTCAGATGTGACATCAGGAA